CACACACACACACACACACACACACACACACACGCACGCACCCCCCTCCCACACACACACAATTTGCCCACAGCCCTGATCCCTTTGGAGTCAGTTAACTATTTACGTTGACTCGCCAGCTCTCGGCAACATTAAAGCTGTCTGCAAGTTGCAACCCCCAGATGTAATTACTCATGCTAATGAACAGAGCAATTATCACCTATCAGTTTAGTCGATCTTCACTGGAAGTATTGAGTAACGGAACGAATTTTGTTTGCTTGGAAAACTTGAAAAGGGTGAGGGAGATGGAGGGGAGGAAAAAGAGGGGAGGAGGGGGGGGGATGGAGCTTCTAGTCTGGCATACTGGTGTAGCTAAATACATTAATTATCTCTTCTCACAAACTTCCGGGCCAGCACCGGCTTATTTCGACAAAAATGGTGGTAAATTGCTTGGTTCTGTGTGCTAAGCATTCTTCTAAACTTGCTGAAATTATCTGCCGTGCCCTAGGATTTTCTTCTGTTGAGCCGGCTGATAGAGGAGGATATTCTACTTTCTTTCAGTTTACCAGAAGCAGCATATGAGTCGCGACACGGTGTTTTCAGGCTCTCGTCCACCGTTGAGTATATAGTTATCAGTATCATGTTAAACCTTGTTTATTTGTCTACCTTTTATTTAAGAAATTATTAATTTATCTTGAGTAGAAGTCAAGATATTTGCTATCTAATAAAAGAAGTGTGGGTCGCCTAGTCTTAAGGGTAAAATTAGACAGAAAAAGTCTCCAAAGTTTGGTGACTCCCCAAATTCAGAGCCCTTGGAAACTGTAAATGTAGCCTACATTTTTTTTCGTGCATCTCATCCAATCCCCCCCCCCCCCCAGTAAAATCCACAAAAACTAGGCACAAAATGACTTAGCGGTAGGAAAATGTCGACTTCTATGAAATCAAAAGTTTGATGAGAGTTTGATTTAACCACGACGACACACACATTATCATGTTGCTTAGAATCCAACATGATAAAACATGTACATTTTTATAAGACATAAAATATTTCAGTTGAACGTGCCCTTATATGAAATTCCAGAGATTAGGAGCTGCCAGATTTTAAAAAAAAATGTTCCCTTTGGCATACTACATCTCTTTCATCAAATCGTATCTTATTTTAACGTACTGTGAATGGCACCTTTGACTACACTATACGTATTCGAAAAGATGGAATCACGGCCTCTAACCCTTGACCCTACGCTGTCATGGCATTTTGGTACCCGGGCGTGGTCATGACAAACCCCTCTTTTTTTTTTTTTTTTAATTACCGGTGGAATATTCTGATAAGGCATCTGAAGCCCCTTAACTCATCGACACCGGAATTGATTTCCACCGTTTGACAGAACTAATTGTTTTTTACAACTCGACTCGACTACTTTCAAAATATTAAGTGCATCTACTCAAGACAAATAACGGCAATAAACGTAAAGGCCATATATAAACATTTGAATCGCCTGAATAGTGTTAAGTGTATGGTTAAGTGTATGGTGAATCAAATTGAATTATTGAATAATCCCTCTTGACCCTTTACTTAACGTACAATATTTATTTATGAATCGAAAGTGACTTTGTGCGTTTGTTTTTCTTATGTTCATTTATTCTTTCTGTAAATGTTCATAATCAGGTCATGAGCGTTTTGTATACACTTACATGCGTATGCATGCACACACACACGTCCACACACATTTACATATTGATAAACACACGCACATACACACTCACACACACACACACACACACACACACACACACATACACACATACACACACAGGCGTGCGCGCGCGGGCGCATACATACGAGCGCGCACGCGCACACACACACACACACACACACACACACACTCACACAATCACACACACACACACACACACACACACACACACATACACACGCATTTACACGCATTTACACGCATTTACACTCATTTACACACCAATACGCATACACACAGTCACTAACCGACATCAATACTCACAAACCTAAGCACAAATCCACAAACAAACAAACAAATAAACAAACACACACACACTCACTCACTCACACACACACACACACACACACACACACACACACACACACACACACACACACACACACACACACATTCTCAAAAGCACACAAAGGTACTAACACGCACAGAAAAAATAACTCTAACGATACTTCTTGCATAGTTGCTTTAACTTTTTAATTTTATAAAAATTGTTGTCATGTTAAAAAACAGTGCCGGCATATTTGGTGTAGTGGTTAAGCGTTTTACTGTCAAATACAAGAGACCAGAGTTCGATTCCCTGGTAGGGAGAAATTTGTATTGAGTACCTCGGTCTAATTCTGCTGCTGTGTTGTATCCTTCTCTGCCTGAGTTGGCACTGACACTGACAGGCAGAATCGAATAAAAACATCGTTATGGTTCTGTTTTCTCACTCTCTCAATTTATCTCTCTGAGTGTGGGTATATTTATATGAATACAATTATACAGATATTATATAAATATACATATATTTATACACATATGTTCCCTTTTAAGACTCACATATTTATATATCCATTATCTATCTATCTATCTATATATCTATATAGATATATATATA